GGGCAAAGTGCGGTACACCTGCCGGCCCTGTACGCCGTCGACAGCCCGCTGGCGGCCCAATCGTCCGCCGCCGCCGCTGCCGCTGCTGCTGCTGAAACGGGCGCCGATGCCGCGATGATCAAAGAGGCCGAAACGCCAACGACGACGCCGCCCCGGCAACCGGACGTTGGGTGGTGGCGCGGCCAGCAGCGTCGCGTCAAGATGCTCGGCCTGCTGACGGTGCCGGTGCACCTGCCCGGCCTCGAAAGGTGGCTGCAGTGGGAGGCGCGGTACAAAAAGGTCGACACGGGCCTGCTCGGCCGGCACGCGTCCGCTTCTTCGGCGGCGAGAACGGGGCGCGGCGACCGGAGGCGACGCTGGGTGCGGCGGTTGGCGCGAGGCGCTGTCGTGGAACGGAGAAGAGGGCGAGCGATAGGAGATAGCAGATGAGCCCTCGAGATGAGATCCCCCTTCCCTCTGAGAGATTTCTTGCATGAATAAAATAAATGCAAGAATGATGGCTTGCATGTAACGTGAAAGGCGTGGAAATACCTGTGTTATGAACATGGTTCGGTAGCGTCGCGGGCCGGGTATCATTCAACCTGTTCTGGGCCCTCATGGCCTCTAGCAATCTGGTCCATGGTCCTCTTGCTGTAGTTTCTGGTTCATACTCTGCGGGAGCCTCAGACAAGTCACTCGAAGAAACTAGAATATGTTCAACGTGACGAAAATAATGACCATCAGACGCATTGCAAGAGCTCACATACCTGATAAGCTAGCATATTCAAAATAATCCATTGACGCCAGAGCTATGCTATCCATATCGAAAGATGAGAAAGAAGAAGAGAGAACAGTCTAAATAAATAGGTATCGCAGATCATCACAATACGCTCCCAGCCTTCCGCCCTCCCCCTAAACCAACGTGAAAGGCGTCTGTCCTTCCAACCCACTCCTTTTCATCGCATTGACTACCAGCGTATCGGAGCAGTACTCGCTACAGCACACAAACCGAAACTTGCCCCCCTCGACCGGCCGCAGCACAAACGCAAAGTGACTCCCGTCCACCCACACGACGCGGTCGCCGACGGCCGGCGGATCGAGGCGGCCCCAGTTGTTGTAGCTGTAGTAGAGCAGCAGACCCGTCGACGTGGCGAACGAGTTGAACGCCGTCGTAGCCAGCTTCAGCCAGAAGCGCAGCTCGTCGTCTTCCTCCCCGACGCCGTCGGACTTGTGCAGAAGCTCGCGCCTCGCGCGCTCCCACATGGGCCTCAGGTCGGGGTCTGTCGTCGACGTAGGGAGGCCGAGCCACTCCTCGAGGATGACGTCCACGTCCTCACTGCGGAGTTCGGCTGTGCGCGTGACAATCTCCTGGTCGACCCGCGCCGCGACGTCGCGCAGGTCTGGGCAGCGGGTCGGGTAGCCGCGAATGCCGTACTCGACGCCTTCTGTCGGACGGGACATGACGCTGATACACTCGCCGAGATCATACGCCCGGACTGTCAGCTCGAGGCCGTCGGGGGATATGTCGACGTGGCCAGGACCCTTGGAGTCGCCGGAGCGGTCGTTCTCGATCTGCTCACGGAAATCGGGAACCCAGGAGGGCGCGTCTCCGCCGAGTGGGGGGAAGTAGGCAATGATGTTGATGTTGCCGGTGTGCTGCAGCACGAACTGCGCGTAGTCGTGATACACGGTCCTGAAGGGGAGATCATAGTTGGGTGTTAGGTGAGGTGGCAGGCTTTTGTAAGGAACCAGGGCGAGAAGGGCATAGATCTTATCAGCCGGCAGAGAGGCTTCAAGCGAGCCGAACGCGATGAAGAGGTCAAGCAACTCTGAGGCGACGATTCTCTCGGCTGATTCGACGGTATCTGCCGTTGCTGCCGCCTCGGCCGCCGCCAAACGAAGCTGGCGCTGCTGGCGCGCCCACCAGACACGCCCATACATCTGCCATCGCAGGTACACGTCCTCCCAAACCCAGTGGAACGCACTCTTCTCAATATCCAGCAGGAACCAGAGTGCCACCAAGCCGCCCATGCCAAACACATGGCGGCCAAAGAGCACCTGGGGTTGCGCTTGGGCGAGCACGGCCTCCTGTATCACCCAGGTCCGGTCGAACCAGTCGTGATAGTACAGGT